GAGTTAAATTTGGTTTTTCTTTTCCGAGTTTGTTTGGCTCTTCTACCTGACCGATTTTCATGATTGAGGTCTCAAATTGAAGGTAGGAAAGCACAGATTTCACATCAAGCATTGGCATTTATTTATATACTGTATTACTCGGCCAAAAAACATAACTTAGATTTGTTTTTGAATTCTTACTTCAATTTAAGATTTATTTCACCAGTTATGATTATAAAATCCTAGGCCTATATATTTTGGTTTTACCTTCAGTGAAATACCGGCTTTCATTTAAGTTATTAGTTATTCAAATCGGATGAGTTTCAAGCTAACCCAAGGTTAACAACCAACACAAAAATTATTTTTATAAGGTTTTTATAAGGCTATGATTGAAAATAAATAGCTCAAGTATTGTTAATAATCAGTAAACTATAGGCTTTCATTTGAGCTATTGACCGTTTGAATCAGTTAAGTTCAAGAATTAAAAAAAACCATAATATTTATTATTTCTCGGATGATATTTAGACGCTGTGGAGCAGCTTTGGTCCTCCAGTCTAAATAATATTGTTTCACAAATCAACAAAAAAATCCAAATGAAATCTCACAAACATGATTAATCAAAAACTGAATGTCCTTTTTGGTTTGAAGTTTATGAATGTGTTTATGTTAACACTCAACAACAGGTTAGAACCTATAGGTTTTAGGTTAAGTTCAAAGCATTGCACGTCAAATATGTAGGCCTTTATTGCACCAGCTGATCGATTTAGTAGGAGACGTAGGAATTGGCTAACTCAGGAACTCACTAACTCGGTCGTGTGTCGGAACTGGCTAACTCTGGAACTGGCTAACCGTCTCAGTCAGGAATTGGCTAACTCCGGAACCCGCTAACTCGATTTTGTCTCGCGGCGGAATTCGCTAACTCTGGAAGTCGCTAACCCGGCCGCGCCCACTGCACGGAGCGTTGCCAACCTTGTTCGACGAAATACTCGTACACTGCCGTATTTCAAAATGTAAGTGTCAATGAAGATACAGTAAATGTTATTGTTTTTTGTTATCAATTTCAAAGACAATAAAAAAATCATGAAAAAATGTTTTTTATTTTTATTTACTGTACAATGGCTAATTAAATGTTTATGATTTCGATCTTAAATATAAATGCCATCAGTTTAAAAGAAAATTATATAATATGAAAAATATTTAAAATTCAGTTTAATAGGTACTAAATAATTAAACCTCTACGAAATTAAGCTAAAATACACGCAAGTTCTCAAACACGGAAAACAAATTTTATCGTAATGTCGTAATAAACCAAAACTATTAATTAATACAGTCATCAACCATCGTAACTTTCATAACTAATTCATAGACTTAAAATTAAATATTCGTCGTTGAATCGTCCAACCTGTACAAATATGACATAGACCAAGTTTCATATCAACTTATAGAATAGCTGTAGGCCTAATGGTTTAAACCAAAGCATTTTAGGCCTACTAGTAAATAGTTGCCTAATTCTAAAATGGGTTGAATTTTTTAGTAATAATGTTACATGTTTTAAAACAGTTTTTAGATTGTACACCTAAGCATCACTAGTAAATAATAGGAGAAGATATAATATTCATATAATAAAACGTGAAAGGTTTATTTTAATTCACGATTTTTAATCAACGACTTGACGGATTTTCCTGATTTGAGTGTTGGGTTTCCTTTATATTGCTTTCACAATCGAAATAAACTATACTAAGCCATTGCTCGGTTCCCTGTTCCCCGTTACTGAGCTACTCAATAGACTATAGCTTTGTTTTTGGATAAGATCAGGTAATTTTAGCTATGGCCACCATTCATAAAAATGATAACAAACAAGAACGACTGGGTCCATTTAGAACCATAAAAAATCCACACTTTTAAAAAGTAGGCCTACTGAAAGACGTAAAATTAATATTATTTAACAAAATTAAGAGGATGACCCGACTTCTAACTAATAACCTACGATAACAGAAATTTACAAGTTGTATTTATGCATATACAAATTTGTAATGCAATCCACGAATACATTAGTCCTACCACTTTATAATGTATTGATCAATATTTATTTAAATTCAATAGCTCTATTTAAAAAAAAAAAAACACTACCACTACAATGTATTTCTGTAATGACGTTTAACGTGTACATTTTATCATGATTTATGATTCAATTTTATGATTCAAGGTTACAAGCCCAGTATATAAAATACGAACTTAATAATTCTATTTGCAGAAGTTCACAAAATGGTATTTATTTCAATAAAAGAAACAAATGGCGGACTACGAAAATAGATATTTCATAACATGTAAAAGATCAAAATTAAATGTACAGTAATATCTTTTTGCATCCCAATAAGGTACTATTTAAGTGAGAAAACCACATATAAAACCATAGATAAAACATACCGCCTTATATTAGTACATTTCTCATCCTTATGGATCAGCTGAAGACAGTTTTATTGTTAGATCTGTCCGGTGCACTGTCTTTAGAGGTCGTGTTTTGTTTACAATTGTGTCTTGTTTTCAGTCATTTAAAACCTCGTTTAACCAAATAAATCGTTCTAATCACAACTATTAACACGTCTCCTAGTTATATAACCAAACATTAAAGAACTAATCATAAAGTTAACTATAAAATAATAGAAACACAATTTCGTCGACACTAGCGATCAGTGTCACCGGACATGAACTAGACACGATATACGAGCTTCAAAGTTTACTTGTGTTGGTTAGGCTATGGTAAGACTATAATACATTTTCCACTCTAATAATCATAAGAATAATATTAAACATACTTCTAAATATAGTTTATCGACTATCAACTATAATGTAAGGTATATTTTTTTGCGATTTTATCTCTTTTAAAGGAGTTTTATCTAACTACGTTGCTCTTAATCCTATAGTTATTCGTAGGATACGACATTATGGTACTGATACGATATAGGTACCACACTTTCGGCAACACTGGCTATAAATCTTCGTGCTTGGCTCCCATTGGACGACCCGCGAGGCTTCTGATTGGGAGTTAGCGAGTTCCGCCGAGGGACCGAGTTAGCGACTTCCGTACGAGGACGGAATTCGCTAACCCGGCTCTAGAGCGGGTTAGCGGGTTCCGGAGTTAGCCAATTCCGAAACCGAACAAGTTAGTGAGTTCCTCTCATCGACCAAATTTGAAGATAGGGCGTTTAACATGGGGTTAGCGAGTTCCAGAGTTAGCCAATTCCGCGGACCCTTTAGTAGTGTTGCCAACATGTTTTCAAGCGTAGTCTACACGTGTTACGTGTCTAATGAATGCTCACTATTTTGTGTTGTTTGGCTGATATACTTGAGTGCGGGAGAGTGAATAAATGCAGGCATGAATTACTGTGCGTGTTATAATCAGTGCAAAAAACCCAGCTTTGTCAGGCAACTGAAGGAAATTTTTGTTATACCATGAAATTAAAGTAAATTATGGCCTGTGTTCAAACTGGATGGATATAACATGTATGGTATATTCATTTGTTATTTCTTTCAATTACTTTTCTCTGTTGGAATGAATAAAACACATTCATTACTAGCAGTGTGTCCGATCTTGTCTAGTCAGTTGAAACTTTATATTCACATTAGCATTTTTTGAAATATGCAGGTATACAACTATACACAACTGCCGTAAACACAGTAAATGACGGTTTTAAGGCAAACCAAAATTGTTTTGCAAATAAACGTTACATGGAATTTTTTAGGTTAAGATATGTAAAAATTACAAAAAACATATTTTTCTACACAATATACAGTCATCAAAACTGATGATTTAGCCTACATATATTTTAAGGGTCTGAAGAGTTCTGCGGGTTAACCTCAATTAATTGATGAGTAGTATAGAGATATGATATAAAATTCGTTCATTAAATAAGTTCAATGCTTTTATTTTAAAGTCACTTGTGTGAATTTTGCTTTATTTTAACATAAAACTTCCTGTTAGAACTGTTTTACTGTTAAGTTACTGTGCTTTAGAACGATTCAAAACTACAGGATAAAAACATTAAAGTTTCAACACCGAGTAAACCAAATGAAACCTATTTCTGAAGCTGAGCAAGGGTTCAGGCTTGAAGGTGTCAGAAATAGCACAGCGTCAATATGCACTCCATAACAAATACAGAGTGTGCTGTGATTTAGTGAGGTTTTTATATAGACCTGCAAGTCAGCAACGCAAGCGTTAGACCTAATAATAATTTAAATCCCAAAATAAACGCTCCGGATGCATCAAAGTCAGTTTGTCATCATTCTCTAGACGTTTTAAACTACGAGTTTATGCTACGACCAACAGATAGATTGACAAAACACATATTTCTTCTGTGAAAAATCGCGAGAGATTAAAGCTCATTAATGCTGTGTTTTGATTTTTTTGTTTCATAAGTGATAACATTTAGTACCGGTACCTACAGTAGTATTGCTCATTGTGTCTACTTTCAAACAAAACTATAATACGACAGTCTTACTATATGACTCAAAGAATTGGGTGCTAAGCAAGAGAACGGAAAACAAATTTAACAGTTTTCAAAAACAAAATTCTAAGAAAAATCTTTGGACCATCCTTTGAAAATGGAGAATGGAGAGGAAAGCACAACAGGGAGTTGAGAGTTGTAATGGGGATCCATATGTTGTGACCGAGGTGAGCGATAAGTATTAGAGGTGGGCCATGTGTTTAGAAAGAAAGAGGGCTGCTCCTTAGTGAAAACACCCCAATCAACAGCCCTGAGGGTAGAAGACCTCCTGGAAGGACCAAGTTGAGATGGAAAGATCAGGTAAGAAGAGACCTAAGAAGAATGGGAAGAGGAGGAAGCAATGGATCAAGAAATCTGGAGGCTTTGTGTTGGCGAGACTAAGTACCTACAAGAGTATTAAATTGCATTTAAAGCCATTTAAAGAGTTTTTACTCTAAGTGTAAAAATAATACCTTTATCAGTAAATTAGCGTTAAACTATCTAGTAATTAAATAGTAGGTAAATATCAAAACTCACCATGTCCGTTGTTGGATGTGGGTGGAGTGAGAGGCGAAGGTAAGGCACTTTGTCCCTGTGTTAAAATAATTTGACTCTCTAGTTCCTGCAGTTCGGCATGCAGTTCCCCCAATTTTGAATTTGACTTTTTAACGATATGTGCAACATCTGATAAAGATTTACGATCAGTAGCAACCTCCCTTAATTTTTCTGCCCCCTCTTTAATTTTAAGCTCTTTTCGAATCTCACGCCGAATATGTTCCTTAAGTTCCTCCAGTTTACATGGAAGCGCCGCCTCAGGAACCGCCTCTGTTTGAAAGCCGTACTTGTGACTCAACTCGTACAGCACCGGATGGCGGATGTAGTCCCCCTGGAAAAGAAAAATATGATAAAAACCTTATAACGTAGCTTACTGAGAGTTTGTTGTATGGAAAGTTTCAAAGCGCCACCTTTCAAAAACTCAAAAAAACTTCTGTCCGTAACAGTTAGGTCTACTCGTAAATTACTCTAATCCTCTATGTGCCTTTTCAAGGAATATCTACCCATTCTTGAATAATGTGCATTTAACATTTTTATAGAATAGTGAGGTAGGCTACCTCTTAATTTTAGGTAGCCTATAGCTAAACCATTACCTAAATACCCGGTATCTAAGTAATGAACTAAGTGCAGTACCGTTCCTGTGAACTGGCATTTATCAACTTCTATATGAAACACAATTTTAACCTTCACTGAACGTTTTTATAACCAAATATATATGACCTGCAAAGCGTAGGATAGGCTACAATAGATTTTACTAAAAATCTGCCTAAATCTGCTTGAAGAGAATAATACTATTTTTCTTATTTTAGGTTACAGGTAGGGCCTATACGACATTAATAAACCCTATAAATTCTGTCCTTTCAGAATAAAAATTTTTATAAATATTCAGGCCTATAAATTTTAAGATGTGCCACATTCTGGGAAATTGAGTTCAAAGTACCCTAATTTATCTTATGATTAAGTTAATTTAATTAAGGCTATACTGAGGCTATGAGGCTATTAAGGCTATGATGAATGTCAACTAAGTTATCGGTAAATTCGAAATATTATTAACAATTTTCCAAAAATACAAATTGGTTACTATTTTCCTCACCAGAAAATAGAGAGACCTCACTTGTTTTACCATCCTTTCGCTGAGGAAAACACAATAAAACTGAGGTTTAATCTCCCAGGCACATCTAGCCTTCCCACAACTTTCAGATGGATATTCTCACCTATTGTCTTGTGATGTTATATAAATAGCCTTGAAGAGTTTGCAAGTACCAACATTCAAAACTCAATTTCAAGTCAAACTTTGAAACAGCACATTCAGGCCTTAATACAGTAGTAGGTAGTTAACTATTTGAAATAGATTAACCAAGCACACATAGCCTTTAAGTCTACATAATAGCCCAATAACCACAAGTTAAGTGATGTAAGTAGGCAAATATGAAGCATGAAGAACGAAAGATGATTATAAATCTAATGATTTTGTCAATAAAGCACCAATCAAAGTACGTACAAAACTGTACCACTTTCAATTTGATAAAAAAAATAAGTTAACTAACCATACACTTCAATAGTTAACTTACCGGTACCACAAAAAAAGGTCAGACAACTCTTAAGACAATGATTTTGTAGCCTACAAAATTTAGGAAGGTCCAATCTAGCTTATGTTTACAGCAATGCAAGTTTTTTAACAAACTTCCTTGTACAGCTCGGAATCTGACGGAAAACAAATTCAAAATGGGTATATTATCTCTTCTTTGGCCGATTTACTCCTTCAAAGTTTTATTTTTCGCCTGAACAAGTACCTTCTTTTAGTCAATAGTGAACCTGTGATATATTACCGTATCGGATGAACAACTTAACAAGTAGAACCTCGCTACCGGTAATTCGAATTTCGGAGGAAATACAATACATTTCGAATCATAGGAAGTTTGAAATATAGAGAGTTTGAATTAAAGAGGTCCGGATAAATAAAATTCGAGTTATGGAGGTCCCAGTTTTAAGTGTAGAGAGTTTGAGAGAACGGAGACTCTACACTCGTGGGAACATTAATAAGAGCGTCAGTTCATGTTCGAACAGGCGTATGTTTGTTCTCAATTCGAATTACAGAGGCGTACAGTAATGCATTCGAATTGTAGAGGTTAACTTAAAATTTTGAAGGTAACAATTTGAATTATGGCAACACAATTTGAATTGTAGAGGCTCAAGTATGTGCAAATTCGAATTGTAGAGGCTGAATTAAGAGTAAAAATCACTTAGAATTATCGGTATATTATTTTTCAAATTTTAGAGGTTTTCTGAGGGAAACAGACAAACATTTCTAACTAAAGAGGTTTTCGAATATAGCTGAAGTAAGAGAACGGTACATATGATTACTTCTGTTGGCCGTACTACTTGTTGTAGATCTTTCTCTAATTCTATTGTGTTTTTTTCTGTTTTGGAACTGATCTTTTACTTTGTAGGATCGGTCTTCCATGTCAACTCTGTATCTAACTTCTTCATCTACATCTTCTTCCTTCGAATTCAATTCTATCTTCAGTTGAACAGCTTCAAATCTTTTCCAGTTTTCTTCTAATACATCCATTCTGTTTTGCAGAACTTCTGTGGGTATGGTGGATACATCATCTAACAGTCTGTCTGCCTTTGTAATCTGGTCTTTTACAATAGCCTGTACTTTCTTCAAATCTACTATTGAATCAATGTTTTGTAAAATTTTCATTATGTAGTTGACTACCGTAGTGAAGATATGAAAAATTTAAATACGTAATTAAATAATAAAAGGTAAAAAATTGAAGGTAAGTGTAGTTTCTTTTTTTTAACCTGAAGAACAGTCTTTATGAGGTAGTGATAGTCTTGGTGGGTAATGAGAATGAGGACTTGGGAGCAGAAACTGAGTGGTTAGATTTATTTCAGAATGATAAATACATTTTTATGGATAAAAAATGAAACAAGGGAAGGAATACCGGGTAGACTTCCGTATCTATTGTCAAAAACAACCGAATAAAAATATCAATTGATATGCCAATTATTCTATATTCATTACCGTTTAGTTAGTTACGTTAGGTTAACCTAAACTACCCAAACGATATATCGAATGAAACAATTGAATAATCAATATTTTCATTCGGTTGTTTTTGACAACATATACAGAAGTTTAGCCAGAATACCGGTAGCAGACAGAATACCTACTCAAGATTATGGGGAGTGTTCATAGTTTGTGTTGTATGTAGCATATTGACTTTTTCTTAACTCATACATTTTGTATCTAAGTTAAATAACTTAAGTTAACTTAGGTAAGGGCCCAGCAAACTAAGATTTTTTTAAATCAAGTGTCGTATGTTTGTAATAAAGTACTGATTAGCGTGTTTGAAATAGCCTAAGTTGATGATTGGTATTTAGGCCTATTTAGGCTATGTTGTCTATTCGTAACTCTAGACCTAAGTTTAACTTAACTTAGTCCAAAGTGTAGGCCTACTGCTTAAGTTTTAAGCGAAGATCCAAAAGTTGATGAGTTTAGTCATAGGATGGTATTAGTGTACCTAGCCCAGGAATCATATTAAAACGTGACAGGATTTTTAATTTCACAATTCTAAATCAACCACTTGACGGATTGTCGTGATTTTTGTGTCAAAAGAAAGATAATTTTGAAAACTAGAGAATGTCGAAGCCATAATTTTAGTTTTGGGTTCCAGTTTTTTAGAAATTAGGTTTTAAATTTTAAAAAGTCTAGCAGCCGACGCTAACATTCCACTCTAGCTTTTGGTATAATAAGTTTACCATTTGCTTAACATAACAGCTGTAAACATTCAGCGTTTTAGACACAAATTCAGCTTTTGGATGAAAATGAAATTACATATACCGTATACAGTACGTAGAATTGACTTTTTTATACTAGCCTACCTAAGTTATGAGTACCTAATGCTATAATCATTGATACGTCTATTTATTTGGTAAGAGGATGAGAGATTATAGGTACATAGTAGGCCTAAAATACTAGATGTTCTAATTTATTTATTTGAGCAGTCTTTAAAATACTTAGTTTGTTTTAGTGAAATATAATTTGTCATAGAACTAACAGCTGGTTGAATAAAAAATATTCTATAAAACTTTGAGGTTAACTTAATTACCCTACTCTGTGATTTTTTCATTGATTATTATAGGAAATAAGTTAGGTACTAAGTAAGATTCTTTAACGATGCTGTGTACGAATAGAAGCTCACGAATCTTCAAAAGAAAGCTTATGAAAATTTTTACTACTCGACTAGCCTATTTGAGGAAAGGTTAAGGGAAAATAACAATGAACTCATGTTGTAATTCATCTTGGAAGCTTTTTCTTTACTATAAATTTTGAATTGCTTAAACTAGGCCTATGCATGAATTAGTAATAGGCCTAGACATAGGTGAGTCGGTGGCTCAGTCGGTAGCGTCACGGACTTCGAGTTCAAGGCAGCAATGTGGTGGGTTCGGATCCTGGTCACTGCCACTAAAATTTATCAGTACAGTTCACCTTTGTACTGTACCCTACCGGTACCGGCTCACCTCTTGCTTTGCTGTAAATGATCCAAGCACGGGCGCTTAGTCTATGTGGACGGGCAAATAAAAGATTAAAAGAAAAAAAAATTTAAAAAAACATTATAAGCCTAGGTGTAGGCCTACGGTTTTAATGGACTAGGCCTAGGCCTACTCGATTCCCGTACGTAGGACGGGCTAACAGCTCGTTTAAATAATTATATAGCCTACTCTATGTGCCATTGGACTTTTTCGACAAAATCGGGTGAAATCCAAGGAAAAATAACTGTTGCGCATATGAGCTCTCATTACCAAAGCTAACCTCCCAGTTCGTGATGTCAACATTAGCCGTAACCTGAAGAGATACTTGCTACTCACCCTTAAAGCTAGCATCACTATGATCAAACTTCAAAGTTATAAGTTAAAACCATGCAAGTGTCAGATTATTATTACTCTAAGGAATGAAAATAACATGCTACCCACCTGATAATAACTTGAATCCGCCATATTTTAGAGATTTCTCCCAACTTACTCTTTGCACTAACAAACTCCGGCACTACCAAACACTTCACAAAACAATAAGTAAAGAAGGATAATTCCTTCTCTCTTTGCGTTAGGTCACCATAAATAAGTATTTTAATTCAACACAATAAAATATACACAGATTAATAACTTTTGACACATCACAGTTACACACACCGAGGCTCAACTTTACCGACTAAAACAAGGTTTATTTTATTTTAACAGACAGCCAATCATAGGACAGAATCCGTCTGATTCAACTAACAGGTAGTACCAACTGGTTTTTGTACCGAAGAAAACTTTAATATCCGTAGCATGTCATTTCATATGAATATGTAACGTTTTAAATTCGTGTCCATCTGGGACCCACGTAAAGGCTTATCTGGAGTAGTGTTAAAAATTAAGCAAATATTGATAAAAAATATAAAGTTTGAAATCATCACAAATTTACATTTAAGCTCTGAATTTTTTACTTTAAACTATATTGAAAAAGCCACACTGTCCACACTGTTATAACTTAAAAGTTAATTAATTGATGATATGGTAAAATAACAGCATAAATTAGCCATATTTAACCAATGAAAAGTAATCGAGCGCTAAAAATTATTTCAAGTAATATTGCTGTACTATCACGTAAGCTACTGTGCTACTATACCAAGTGCTAACCACCAATTCACTTACGTATTAAAAAGACAATCCCCCTTTTTTAAGAATCGATAATATACTCAATAACGCTCGTATATAGCTATTGTTAGCACACAATACAATAAATGTAATCATAAGAAGGAAAATCCATGCTAAGCTATACAGATATAGTGATACAGAGCATCCACTGGCTCTAGAGTGGAAATCAGAGGCTATTGTAATATTGATAAGATGTTTCCTTCTTTCTTACGATATTTTATAGACAAGGACAAGAAAAAAACCCTTGACGCCAAGAGGAGGCAGAGGCTATTGTAATATTGATAAGATGGTTCCTTCTTTCTTACGATACCTATTTATAGACAAGAAAAACCCCTTGAAGCCAAGAGGAGGTATCAAGCGATAAATAAAGACATACAGTGCCAATTTCATTGAGTCCTCTCAAAATTCTTGTGCTGCTGCTTGGTCTGTCATTAAAACGGAGGGGGCCCCTTGCAAAAGCAAAACCAACTACCAACTATAGACTTTCTTCCAACAGACTCGGGATGCAATTGGTACCCCACCAATCCCCGCTAAAAACCCTCCTAGCCCAGCAACCTAGACCAACATGTTCTTTTAACATTGAACCTGTCTAGCTCTTTTTGTGGGAAAGTGCTATCTGTTGTACATAAGATGAATAGCTCTAGAAGTAAGGATGTTGTTGATCTCTCCGCAATCTTAATTAAGAATGTGATTCATCATATTTATTGTAGTTCCACTCACATATTGTATCAATGTTTGTATCAAGGAGGGTGTTTTTCCAGATGTCCTAAAAACAGCCAGAGTAGTCCCTGTCCATAAAAAGAGGGGAACCATAATGTGCCTGAAAATTTTAGACCTGTATCTATTCTCCCTGTGTTTGGTAAGATTTTTGAAGGTGTATAAGGATCAAATGTTACCTTATTTTGAAAGTAATGGACTGCTTGTGTCAGCTCAGTATGGTTTCAGCTCAGGCCGTTCCACAATCGATGCAGTTGAAGTTCTGACTATGGTGTTGTTTTAAATTCGTTTGAGAGTGGAGGCTTTGCTGGGGCCACAATTTGTGACCTCAGCAAGGCTTTTTGACACCGCGTGGACCACAAAATTTTGCTTGACAAACTCCATTTTTATGCAGTTAGGGGTAAGAGCTTGGACTTAATGGGATTATACTTGGGCGGGCACAGACAGTTTGTCTCTGTAAATGGTCAGTCCTCTGTTGTCATACTTTATCTCATGGCGTCCTTGGGCCCTTGCTTTACAACATAATGATAAATTACCTTTCTTTGCATTTGGGAGAGGGGGTTGTTTGCTGTATGCAGATGACACTACTCTGATTGGGGTAAATGATAACTTTAATGTCCTATAGGGCACTATGTCTCAGACTCTCCAAAGGGCCAGTTTATATATTTACCAATCTCTTCTGTGTACTAAGCAGGAGTCAGGCTCTCTCGAACTTCGAAGTGATATCCACCCTCACAATACTAGGAGGAAGGACGACTTGAATGTACCCTATGTTAGATTAAGAAAGGTCCAATCTAGCTATTGTATACAGAGATAATATAAGTTTTTTAACAAACTCCCTTGTACAGCTCGGAACCTGCAGGAAGCAAAATTCAAAAAGGGGATAGAATCTCTTCTGTTGGCAAATGCGATTAACACATTCAAAGAGTATTTTGAAATTTCACCTGGCCAAGTAAGTCAGTTTTTTTAGCCAATGAGTGCAATGTGTGATAATTAATAAGTTTTGTTTTAGCGAATTTCCCTATAGGGAAGTAGCTATTACCGTAGGTGGCACAGTAAGACCTAGACCCGGGACCGATTTACTTTTTCATTTTGATGTCCCCAGAGGCCAAAAACACCATCCGTTCAAATTTTTATATATGTATATATATATATATAGACTTATATATATATATACGTCCGTGAATGCGATAACTTCAGTAATTTTTGTCCGATTTTGATGAAATTTGGTTTAAAGGTGTAAAGCGGGATAAACTTGAATGAGTTCGCGAACCAGCACGATCGGACCATGGGAACGGGGCTTTACGGGGGGTTTTATGGGGTAAAAATTGGTTTTTCTCACTTTTGACCCTCAAAACACAAAATTTCCCGATTTCTCTTTAGACCTTTTTAAAGAGCTTAAAAAACAAATAATTTAGTATATAAAAGTATTTTTGTTCGATTATTAGTAACGGAGAAAATTAAAAAAAAATTGTAAATTTAAAATTCCTATGTTATTCTTATGGAGAATATTTTCAAATGTTGTAGTTTGCTTGTTTATGGATACATTTTGATCAAACTTGGCAAATTTATTTATTTTGTACTAAGCTATCAATATTTTACTCAAAAACACACTTTATTAGTTTCCTTGTAGCAGCAAACCTATGTACTCGTTAAACCTAATGTTTTTAAAATATATTTAACTGAAAATCAATTCAGACAAATGGAAATTCGCTTAGTCGGCAGGTTTGCTGCGGCGGGGGTATTTGTTTTTCAATTCTGTGCATGGTGTGTTGCAGGCTTAGGCTATGATTTTGATGTATTTGACGTTTCCTTGTACATAATTATACTTTCAGGAAATAAATCATTCTCATTTATGTACCTATATATTGTATATATGTCACTAGTCTCTATATAATATATATTAATGGTTTTAGTTTGATACAGAGTAAAAATAGGTATGTATATGTCATAGATAAAACATACTCCTCAAGGAGTATGTTTTATCTATGGTATAGCTGTTGTTATCCATCAAAATCATGAAAATATGTTTTTATACTAAAAGCTTTACATAAAAAAAGATAATTAGGAAAAAGAATTAAACCATTCAGTTATACTCATGTAGAAAAGTGTCTAAAGTGAGGTCCTCAAGATCACACCTCGTGTCCTTAATTATTCATAGGTATATTTATAGGAATTATTGTTGTTACTTAATTTGGGTATTGTTAAGTAAACTGGAATAAACTGTTGAAAAATTAACTAAGTCAGTCTGTGGTCAGAATATTTAATCTATGCTGCTGCTCTACTGTAGAAGACCAAATTATATATTTTTTGCTACGACATTACGAGATTTCAATATAATACTCCATTAAGACCAAGGAGATATTAATGGTCACTTGCAACAGCTGATTATTTCCCATGGAGTCTCAGATGACCAAAACAGTCCCCATTTGATCAATATCCCATATAACCTCGACAGCATCAATAGCGTCAGTTTCGGGAACCTTACTCATAGGTTCCTCATAGTCAAAAGCTTCGTTTGTCTATAAAACAACGTACTGTAATAATAGAAATGTCTCTATTTGAATTCGGAAAATTAATTCAGTAATTTTATATCTATGTACATTCAAAACCCTAAAATATCCCCCTAGTGAAAAAAAATTCTGGTCCAGAACCTGGCCAGTACTGTTACAGAACTGGCCAGTTCTGCCACAGTACTGACCAGGTTCTGGGCTGATACTGGCCAGGTTCTGCATCAGTACTGACCAGGTTCTGCACCAGTACTGACCAGGTTCTGGTCCAGTACTGGCTATGTTCTGAACCAGTATTGGCCTGGTTCTGGACCAGTACTGGCCTGGTTCTGGACTAGTAGTTACCAGGTTCTGGACCAGTACTGGCCTGGTTCTGGACTAGTAGTTGCCAGGTTCTAGACCAGTAGTTGCCAGGTTCTGGACCAGTAGTTGCCAGGTTCTGGGCCAGTATTGGCCTCGTTCTGGACCAGTACTGGCCTGGTTCTGTACCAGTAGTTGCCAGGTTCTGGACCAGTATTGGCCTGGTTCTGGACCAGTACTGGCCTGGTTCTGGACTAGTAGTTGCCAGGTTCTAGACCAGTAGTTGCCAGGTTCTGGACCAGTAGTTGCCGGGTTCTGGGCCAGTATTGGCCTCGTTCTGGACCAGTACTGGCCTGGTTCTGTACCAGTAGTTGCCAGGTTCTGGACCAGTATTGGCCTGGTTCTGGACCAGTAGTTGCCAGGTTCTGGACCAGTATTGGCCTCGTTCTGGACCAGTACTGGCCTGGTTCTGGACCAGTACTGGCCTGGTTCTAAACCAGTATTTGTCAGGTTCTGGTTCTGGCCCAGGTTCCTGACAATTCTGGAGCCTGGGCCAGATTTTTTTCACTAGGGCCATGACACTTTTTTACTTGAGATAATGGAAAACCTGCAATAATTTCATATTTCAGGGACACTATAGTCAATGTCATCACTAAGAATGAATGTAATATAGAAACTTCATTAAGTACTAATATAAAATAAATAGAAATACCAGGAAACAAAAATTTATTCCAGCCACACTATCCAACAATGAAACATCCAAATAACAATAGTTATTTTATTTACAAAACTCTTACAATTTGTCATCACCATTGTCAAAGACCCTAAAAGTTAAGGACTAGTTAGTTGATAACTACAATAACAAGAATCTTGAATGGTGAGCAAATACAATAATTGGCTCACTGAGTATTACCAGCAATTAATTCTAATAATGCACAAAAGTACAATAAAACAAAGATTGAAACATTTTTCAAAATTTAGTTCACACATTTACATGTAATATAAGACTAGAAAATAATATTATGAAACATGCCTTAAATTACTATAATTTTCCCTTGCATGTTGACCAAAAGTAAAAGTATATACAAAGAAATAAAACACATGATTCATCAAATATTATTTGCTATCCCAACACATCTCTAAAAATAAAACTAACAAAGCTAGCTTTTGACAAATTTCAAACCTGTATCAATTTTGTAAATTGTATATAGGCATATCCTCCTCTTATACAGGGCTGCGGTGTTGGTGTTTCGTAAGCCGGCCAGCCTAAGGCCATGGTAGTAACAGTATTAACAAACGTGTAAACGTAAAATTGTGCAAACGCTCAATTATGTATAAGTGAAACAGCTGTTTCAGTAAGCAGAGTCTGTGGTGTTACCACTTTTGTCTCCCCGCAGCCATGTATTAGGGCAGGCCATGATATATACTTATTTATTATTTAAGTCAAATACAAATCATCCAGTAATGAATTTTTTATTACTTCAAGACTAATCTGAATTCCCCAAAAACAAATTATATACATATTATATTATTAATAATATATTAATACATCAATATATTACAAAAATATTCATCCAATAAAATGAACTTCTTTAGGTACAATAACCATGTTGTAAAATTCAAGAGAAGTAATACACGTTTCCCAAGACTGCTCAATCAAGAGCTGCTTTAAAATTTGTTCTTTGTATTGAAATTTTGTTCTTAATTTAACACTGAAATGCATACAAATACAACAGTTCATAAATGGATTTGTGTTTATTGATCATCAGTTAAATTAAATTCTATTAAAACTAAAGCTATTTCCTGCAAATTGTGTAAGTAAGTAAAAACAATGACTAGTAAAAAGTTTGCAAGTAATTTTCTGGTAGAATTAGCTTTTATTAATAGAATGCAAGAAGCTGTACAAGTTTAAAACCATGAGTAATAACATGGCCTCTCCAAGCTGAACTGTAGAACCTTGTATAGAATGATAGCCAACAAATCCCGGCATTTTTTTGTTGTTAAAACATTGGTGAATATTAGGGTTACTAGTAAACAATTAAGTGTGGGGTGTTTGAATGCAACTTACAATATTTGTTCATAAAGGAATGTCAACACACTAACGTATCGAGCAGTACTCCAACTAGTAAAAAGCAACCACAACCTCTTACAGAAGAAGAGCTAGCACCAGTAGATTTTAAAAACACATTCCTTCTCCGATCAAGCACAACAGAAGACTTATTAATCACAGCTACTTAATTAAACTGACAAACTGTATTCAGAAAAAGCTTAATCTCAGTTAAATAAGACACAAAATTGTTCTTTATTTGTAAAAAAACCTGTTGACCACTCTTTCAAACATCACAGAAACTAAACTAAGAGACAAAACATATAAATATATAAAGGATGATAAACAGCATCCATGTTCCTACAAACTAAAACTAAAACACATACTATCAATTTCAACCGAAAAATAAAAAGAAGCTTTTTATGTTGATGAGATTTGAATAGTACATTCGGGTGAAGAAATCTTTTATTAAATATTGTCTTAAAGCCTGTTTTCTTTTCTCAAAGAAATGTAGTTTTTTTCAAAAAATATAAATTAAAAACTGATATAAATAGCTTATGAGCAACAAATCCCACATAGAATCAATTAATTAACCCCCTACTTAGAGAAACATTTATTTAAATACATAAATATACAGAAAATAATGTCCGAGGGACAACACGTGTCAAAGGAAAACCACCACCGACTGAAAAGAATATCACAAGACTCACAAAGCTCAAAAATCTAACAAGCTTATAGCATTGATTATAGATATCAAAGTAGACAATGTAAAGTAGACATAGCGAATCAAAACTGTCGTTCAAAAACAATTACATAGTGGGGACGACAGTTGCCTCAAATGGATGCACCAATACCTTGAAGTTATTCGAGACTTGGCAAACGAATAATACTAGTTCAAGTGAAAGTTAAGACTGGTGTTGACTTGGTACACGCTGATAATGTACACACATACTGAAATGCCATTATAATCATGTATCTTCTCCAGTGCAGGACAGACTCAAAATAGATGTAGAATGTCAACAGGGGAATGTTACTGTGCCACAATATTTTGAAATATTATAAAGAGAAACCCGTTATGCTAACAAGGTTAACATGATTGGTCCACATTCAACTCCTTAAAATAACAGTTTTGATCAAATTACAATATCACACTCTGGTATTTGAGATCATATTAATCTATGGGTTCATTTATCTTGATAAGTTACCAAAAACTCAATGAAAAAATAAGTCTTTTAGATAACAACTCATCTCTAAAGTTACCACAAAAATAAAACATTCCAGAATCAATGACTCCTTTTCATTGTGTCCTACAATCCCTGTATTTCCTCTCCCAGAACACATTTACACTGCAATATAAAAACAAGTAGAAAACAATACTTAACAGTCTGGACTTCTTTTTAAACTTCATGAGGTTTTCTTTATAGGGAAAGAGATCTTGGAACACCGCATCGTAGCATTACTCCTCAAATCAATCCAGAAATTCTTCCGTTTTGAACATCTACTTCATTAGTACGTTTGTTAAGAATTTCTAAAGATACAGCAAGTGTTAAAAGTAGTGTGTAAGTGTATTGGTGCAAAAACCACTTCTTCAATCTTACCATACAATGAAATGTACACAGCTTACAATAGTATTGTATCTATAATCAATGCTTACAGTGTTAATATACAAAGAAGCTTAGCAAAATAACATTACTCCTTAACCTAACTAAAATCATAGACCTTTGATATTATGATTGAGAATTTTATTGCTAAAGCGTTTGCCATTGAATTTCATGAAAATAAATAAGGATTCGTCTGCAACTTTGTCATGATTTGAGATGCCCAAAATGTATGAAGGTACACATCCAAATTAAGAAATTATTAAAAACTCATCTGCAACAAATTGAGAAGCCGTTGAAGTATTGGTATGGAAAAAGGGAAGAAAATATAATAGATTTGTTTATTGGTCCAACATTAGTAGAGCAATGTAAATCAAACATTTATATGTATTTTTCCTTTGTTATACAAAAGAATATTCTGATTTCTCCTGGTTCTTTCGGCGCTTCAGAGCCCTTATACAACCTCTGATACAAAGGTGCTGTAGCGCACATTTAAATACAACTTGAATCAATTCAGTTGTTTAAGCAATTGGAGGTAATAAAGCATCTAAATCATGACATCTAACTAATATGTTGCCAATTCGTTGTCGGTTCTCGACTACAAAGACAAATTTGCCAAAAGATGGTATTTAAGCATAAAAAAAACTTTATAAAATATTTGATCAAAATCGGTTTTGATACAAAACCAAAAAAACAGTAAAATAAACTATGCAAACATAATTCACTAGCACTTATCAAATGAAACTAATTACATAAATTTCTTCTATTTTACCTAGCAATCTGCTATCACCTGACAAGATTTGTATCACAAATCCAGATCCTATGAACGCACTAAGGAAAATTTTCGAAAAGTGTGAGTGCTTTTAAGCATCCTAAAGACTGTTGAACGTCTTGGAAGATAATACTATTTCAGAACAAAAACTACCTTCGTCTACAATCTGATGTTAACCTACTCCTAGCTTGGAAGATGACTCAGTAGAATGGAAGGTGGGTGGTGGTGGGGAGATTTAACACGAGTTGTCGGCCAGCAGTCATTCCGAGTGTGGCCGAGGTTTGATCTGGAAACAGCTGATTCTGAAGTGTCGACACATTTGTCTAACCTAAAACAATACATTAATCTTGAGAGAGAGAAAGTTAAAAATAGTTTATGTTGAAACTGGGGATGGTAATTTCAACATTATCTCTGTAAAGTCTAAAACATTTACAATAAAACTGATTCATCATCGTGTTTGGGACTAATCATGCCAAATTATTGAAAATACATAACTGAGTGTTTCAAACATATCCAGATGATAACTAATTGGCCTAACTCTCGGGTTGAAAGATCAATCCTGATGCTTCATATTTATTTTTTACGAGAGCACGCCCCGTGGTCGAAAAATCGACCAAAAGTATGTTTTGTGCAAAATTCTCTATTTTCACCCCACACTGTAAATAAAACATGTGATTGGAATGTCTTCCATTTGTTTTGATTTTCTATTTATATTTTGTTGTTATTTCTTCATCACCATAGCAACCCATAAGACCCATGTTAATTTTTTTAAATTTCAAATTCATTTTTTGTGCTTATTTTTGAGCCTATTTTAATTTATAAAGGGATTCTGCACACCTACAGGAAAATAGCTTTCTAACGGTATGCGTAGATTTTCCCTACGATACACACGAGCTGAGAAAAAAGGTTTTAATGAAACATGCTTGCCTATTAATATATAGATAGATGTGTTTGCTGGTAGACTTGCTCAGGTACCACCTTACAGCCATTGTTATATTTACCAGCAATCAACCACTAATTTAAATATCAATGGAGGCTGTACGGATATAAGATACATCTGACAACAGAAATTATAAATGACTATGACATTATGACTTTGGTAAACCATCAGTGACTTTATTCAATTATTCATCACCATTCGGATGGGATTCATTATTGATTGTTCAATCACTAATTGCATTTCTGTCAGAAACAATCTCGTTTGAAACTGAACCGACGACCTTTATATTTGAAGGTGACCAGTATAATCACTCAGTTATCCAGACAATCCTATACCAAAACCTTTCCAAACGGTTTTTGTACGAGAAGAGTCAAAACCCTTCCCTGCTTTACTCACTGTCATGATCTGTAGGAGAGTCGACCATAACATTCCTTTTAGAACCCATACATCGCTTAAATTTAGTTTGGATAATCATTAATACTGTCGATAGTTTTTATTCATTCACTGAACACTACTCCAAAATACTTACAACACAGGTGCCGTAGTGTATATGAGCAAAGGTGGCTGTGGCCCACAGGGTGTACAGAAGGAACAGCTCTAGCCGAGGCGAGGGCAGCAGTATTGCCAACCCCGTGCAGAGGAACGCAGGACCCAACAGCCAGTTGTATGTGTCACATCTAGTATTGGACATCTGTGCTACTATCAGTCGGCACTGCAACAAACAATAGCTGTACCCAACCCATGATTTGAAACGGGATTTGAATGACTCTCGATAGAGTTACCAGAATCAAGGATTAGTTAAAATACAGTAATACTATAAGCTAAGAGAGAAGTCTAAAGATTTTTGATGGTTTGGAACTGGTCCCAGCTGCCCTTGATCATTGGGCTTAAATTTTAATTAATCCTTCTGGCTGGACCAAGGTTTTTATGTTTCGAGAGTGCTTTAGCAAAAAACCTCTAAAAAACAAACTCAATAAGACAAAGGAAACAAATTTAAAGGCTGTCAAGAGACAACATCACTTCCAAATTGGATCCTACCCCCTCCCCAAATCACAAACAAAATCACCCCTTCAGAGGTGAATTCACATAGTTTCCCTCTAGGTGCTTGTATTTTAGATAATAACATGTGTGTTTTCATTGGTCAGTTTTCGTAGAAGTCACTGTACCAGACAATTTTTTAGAAACCGATTTTATTTTATTCTCAAAACCTCTTCCACTCTATCCTTTATGGTTGTAACGACCCAAAATCTGCCGAGAGGTACGTTTCCTTTTTTAAGTTGTGTTTAAGTTCATTATAATGTCCTACATTCAGGGTAAACCGCGCCTGCGTTGGCAACGTCATCAAAGGAGCACGGGAGGGGTTCGACATCATCGTAGAGGGGAGGACGCTAAACCCACAAGCTACCGAATCGTCAATATGCTTGCTGTTTGGAGACCAAACCAGCAGTCTAGATTTCAATAATTTTAGTGAGTGCCTGCAGGACCCTGGGGCAGCAAATAATTTTACCGAAATTGTAGACTTTTACTCTAAGTGTTATAGAAACAAAACCTTAGGGAACAAATTAATAGTTACCATTTTGTTAACGATAAAATTTTCAACAAAAAAGTGGTAATTTGATAATCAAAGTGTAAAATAAAAAATAAAATTATAAAAATCATAAAAAATAATAACTTTTTTAAAGTAAACTTGATTTAGGCCTATAAATTCCGAGATTAATCCAGACACCAAAAGACACTTCTGTTATAAAGTTCAATTGATTTCCTACGTATAAATATCACATGTTGTTTTATTCGCAAAAATTATTGAGGAAATATGCAAAACAAGAAGCAAGATATTTATAAACATCATAAAATTAAGAAGAAACAAATTGGGGGAAGAATAATAATAATGAAATAACTAGCAGTGACATGAGCAGCACTCGTAAGTCAGCCGCCGGGCCTGCAGCGGCCGTACGAGTAACGCTCGTAAGTCGGTGCCAATGGGTTAAGTTGCCATGGAACAATATACACAGAATATATTTAATCACCCCAAACAGGCTTATGATATTTTCATCTAATAAACGCCGTATCTACTCCGGTGTTTGACAGAGTTTATTTTCCCGACATGTTTACTTTGGTGTTAACCAAGACCAACGAACGATTACACTTTATTTAAGTTTCTAAATTGATTACAGTATATTCGCATGTACGATATAATTCATTCTAATTTCTATCCCAACGCATATTTCGAGTGGCTATCATGATCATTAGTTAAAGGTAAGCTAAACATTATTAGCATTGTTGTAATGTTTATTCTGAGCCAATAAACTCGAAAAGATTATTAAATAATTGAATACGTTGGAATTCTGAGGTCCGTGAAGTTAGCCCCCCCCAAAAAAGCACTAACAATAAAACTAGTATTAATGGTTAGTGCTTCGTTAGTGCTTCAACTCCCATCGTTAGTGCTCTTACGGTTCAGGAGCTATAACCAAAAAACTGTGGGGGGGGCCAACTTCACGGAAGTTAGCCCCCCCCAGGAGTAATATGTGAGCACTAACTTTCAAAACTGTACCAACGGTTAGTGCTTCAACTCCCATCGTTAGTGCTCTTACGGTTCAGAAGCTATGACCAAAAAACTGTGGGTGGGGCCAACTTCACGGAAGTTAGCCCCCCCCAGTAGTAATATGTGAGCACTAACTTTCAAAACTGTACCAACGGTTAGTGCTTCGTTAATGCTGGTTAGTGCTTCAACTCCCATCGTTAGTGCTCTTACGGTTCAGGAGCTATGACCAAAAAACTGTTGGTGAAGCCAACTTCACGGAAGTTAGCCCCCCCCCATAAAAGCACTAACAATAAAACTAGTATTAATGGTTAGTGCTTCGTTAGTGCTGGTTAGTGCTTCAACTCCCATCGTTAGTGCTCTTACGGTTCAGGAGCTGTAACTAGTTGTTGAACTAGGAGTTGAAGCACTAACCAGCACTAACGAAGCACTAACCATTGGTACAGTTTTGAAAGTTAGTGCTCACATATTACTACTGGTTAGGGAGAGCTAACTTCCGTAAAGTTGACAACTCAACAGTTTTTCTAGTTACAGCTCCTGAACCGTAAGAGCACTAACGATGGGAGTTGAAGCACTAACCAGCACTAACGAAGCACTAACCATTAATACTAGTTTTATTGTTAGTGCTTTTATGGGGGGGGGCTAACTTCCGTGAAGTTGGCCCCACCCACAGTTTTTTGGTCATAGCTCCTGAACCGTAAGAGCACTAACGATGGGAGTTGAAGCACTAACCAGCACTAACGAAGCACTAACCATTAATACTAGTTTTATTGTTAGTGCTTTTATGGGGGGGGCTAACTTCCGTGAAGTTGGCCCCACCCACAGTTTTTTGGTCATAGCTCCTGAACCGTAAGAGCACTAACGATGGGAGTTGAAGCACTAACCAGCATTAACGAAGCACTAACCGTTGGTACAGTTTTGAAAGTTAGTGCTCACATATTACTACTGGGGGGGGCTAACTTCCGTGAAGTTGGCCCCCCCCACAGTTTTTTTGTTATAGCTCCTGAACCGTAAGAGCACTAACGATGGGAGTTGAAGCACTAACCAGCACTAACGAAGCACTAACCATTAATACAGTCCAACCTCAGTATAACGAATCTGAAGGGACCGAACTGAATATTCGTTATATCAAGGATTTTGTTAAAACGAGGTTCGTTATATAGAGGTTAGGTTTGCAGGAATTTTGCTATGTCGAGGTTCAGATCCAGCGTCGGTCAATATAGGTCGAGATTGTTGAAAATGCCTGCCTTTTGTTATTTGTAATAGTCATACTACAGATGATGTGAATGTTTATTTACTATCAGCTGTCTGTTTTGTCTCCAATATTGTTCCTTGTCATGAAAACATTAATGAGAAATACATTTGATTATTGTATAGTTTAAATTCGTTTTTCGTCGTAGTTTTACTTAGATTATCCCTAAACACCTCCACTTGGGAGAATAATTCAAGAGGTTATGGTCACCAGCATCGTTTTATGTACATAATAGTGTTGGGAAATCTAGTCTACTACGTACACGGTAAGAACAATTTATACTGACGTATTTTTCTGTCTCAAAAGTATTATTTCTTTGGTATATCTTTCGATCGAGTTCGTCCAGCTCTACAAAATGGAATACGTGAAAGGTATAAAACCATTGAAAGGAGCAGAAGATTGGCCGACGTGGAAAGATCGAGTGTTGGACGTTCTAGAGTTGTTCGACGCGGTTGATATCGTCGAGGGAAAGAGAGAAAAGCCTACCCTCTCTGAGCCTCCGACTAAAGCCGAAAAGGAAGAACTTCAGAAATTCAACAAATCCACGACTCAGGCAAAATTAGTTATTTCTTAGTGATGATCTACATCAACGTATTTCCGGAAGATTATCAGCTAAGGAAGCGTGGGACATTTTGATCGAGCAGTTCGATAACAAGGCAGAAGATCAGTTGTTTCGTCAGTGTTTGGATTTCTTCAGTATGGAATGGGATGATAGCGAGGATGCCCCAACCGTGCTTTCAAGATTGAAGAATCAAAACCGCGAATTTGCAGCTGGCCTCAAAACGCGTAACATCCAAACAGTCGATTTTCTTGATTTTCTTGAGCTCCTGTTTGTGTCAAAAGTGTTACACATTTTGCCGAAGCGTTTTGAATCGTTCAAGTCTAGCTACTTACTTATGAAGGCAAACGAGAGCAAGAAACTTGAAGATGTTTCATCTGCATTGATCCTTCATGAGCGTAATGTTGCTCTTACTTCAAAAGCTGGTGACATTCTAAGTGCCCCAAACAGCGGTGGTCAGAAGAATAGGAAACCAAAAGGTGACACTTCGTGCAAATACTGTTCGGGGAAAGGTCATTGGATTCGCCAGTGTTCTAAATGGAAAGCTGACGGCAAGCCTGCGTATCCAGCTCGAGCTAACGGCATTAGCACTAGCTCAAAAACGAGTGACACTGATAAGAAGAGAACGAAGGGCTCGCAAGTTAACGTGACCGACAACCGAAGTGCGCTGATTTCCATCAGCAGTGACATGAATATCGTGACCACGAACGACCAGTGGTGGATCGACAATGGCGCTACGCGGCACATTACGTCAAATATGAGTTGGTTCACGGAGTACAAACCTTTTCCTGCAAACTCGAACGCAACAGTAAAGGCGGCGGGAAAGGAAGTTATAAAAGCTCTTGGCAGTGGAGTCGTTGAAGTAGCGAACTATGAAAATGGAAAACTGGAAACGTTCACACTCAACGATGTCTGGTATGTTCCTGACGTTTCTCGGAACTTAGTGTCCATTCTCGCAGCTCATGATCGAAACCCTAATAGCAGGTTTGAATCGACTAATACCGAGTGTCGGTTCACTATTAACGAACAAACTGTATTCAAAGGTACTCGAAACTGTGGTGGAACTTTGTATCGTGCCTCATTTCACACAGTTCAACCATCTGAGGTTTGCGCTAATGCAGCAGAAGACAATCGCATTCTGCAGTTATATCATGAGCGCTGGGGTCACATGGATAAACGTTACGTCCGATCGAAGCTCGAATCCGAAATGGGTATCAAAGTGCCAGCCAACTACGAGATCTGCGAACCGTGTCAGTTCGGAAAGGCACACCGTCTACCATTTGGAACACGAGAACGCCCCTCAGCCCCCGGAGAGTTGTTATCCGGTGATGTTTGCGGCCCGTTTGACCCATCCTTCGGAGGTCGCCGATACTTGATCGTCATAAAAGACCACTTTTCAAGGTACCGATACTGTTTTGTCGCAAGGGAAAAATCTGATGTGAAGGAAGCGTTGCGTGAAGTGTTGTCTAAAGCACGTACAATTGGTCATCACGTCAAAGAGTTTCTCAGCGACAACGGTGGTGAGTTTGACAACGCTGAAGTTCGTCAAATCCTCAGAGAATATGGTGTTAACCAACATATGACAGCGCCGTATACACCCGAGCAAAATGGTGCTGTAGAGAGAGAGAACAGAACAATCGTCGAAATGGCCCGGACCTTCAAGTACGCCAATCCAAATGTAACATTTCCTGCAGCGATCTGGGCTGAACTTGTCATCACTGCTGGCTACGTTTTGAATCGAGTGGGAAAGTCAGCAGTTGCCAACAAATCACCCTTTGAGCTCTGGCTTGGTCAAAAGCCGAGGATCAAACATCTGCGAGTGGTCAGCTCAAAGTGCTACATCCATGTTCCTGTTCAGAGGAGGCGAAAAATGGACAAGAAAGCTGTGGTTGGTTACCTGGTTGGATACGATGGCGATGAACGATATCGAATCTACGTCCCAGAGAGAAGAGATATCGTAGTTTCTCGTGACGTCGTTTTTAAAGAAATCGTTGGAGACTGTGACAAGAAAGTTGAGTGGCCCATCAAGATTGAGAAAACCAATGACGTCGAAGAAGATTGGCAAGAAGTTGAAAAGACTATTGACGAGCCTAGTTCTCCAGTGAATGGTAATGATGAGCCCATACTGACTGAAGACCCGTCAAGTAGCAGTGATAGTGAAGATGGAGAGTTATCCAACGATCCTGCAACTCGGCACTCGACTCGGGAAAGAAGGCAACCCGAGTGGCTAAACGATTACGTCTCGTCTAACTTTGCCGAAGTTCTTCTTGTTGACGATGAACCTAAGTCTTACACTGAAGCCATCAGTTCAGAAGATAGTGCTGAATGGAAAACAGCAATGGACAAAGAAATAGGGTCCATGCATAAACACGGTGCATGGGAATTGACCGAACTCCCTCCGGGAAAGAAGACTATCAACAACAAGTGGGTCTACCGAATAAAGCGCAATCCTGATGGAAGTGTTGACAAATATCGAGCGAGATTGGTCATCAAAGGATGTGCGCAAAGACCTGGTATTGATTATGCCGAAACCTTCAGCCCGGTTGCTCGTCTGGAGGTCGTTCGATCAATATTGTCCATCGCAGCTGTTGAGAAGATGGTTATACGGCAGTTTGACGTCTCAACTGCGTTCTTGTACGGAGATGTTGAAGAAGAGATTTTTATGAAGCAGCCTGAAGGATATTCAGATGTGACAAATCGTGTTTGTTGTCTCAAACGCAGCTGATACGGCCTGAAACAGGCACCTCGATGCTGGAATAAACGGTTTGTTGACTTCATGAAAGGCTAGGATTTCGACAGAGCCATGAATATCCCTGCGTCTACATTTGTCCTACCCCTGCTGGAAAAATCATTGTTGCACTCTATGTTGATGACGGATTAGTCACAGCGACTAGTCAGACTGAAATGAAACGAACCCTATACCTCAACCAAGACTTCAAGTCCTGCAAGAAAATCTTGTACTCTCGGAGTGACTATGCAAATAAGGGAAAGTGTTGAAAATGCCTGCCTTTTGTTATTTGTAATAGTCATACTACAGATGATGTGAATGTTTATTTACTATCAGCTGTCTGTTTTGTCTCCAATATTGTTCCTTGTCATGAAAACATTAATGAGAAATACATTTGATTATTGTATAGTTTAAATTCGTTTTTCGTCGTAGTTTTACTTAGATTATCCCTAAACACCTCCACTTGGGAGAATAATTCAAGAGGGATTTGACCTCATTAAAATACAATTAAAGTAGCATAGGCTACACTACAATACTTTACAGTACAGTGTTTACATTGTACAATAGAACCTAAATTATCCGGCAAAATAAAGGGGAGGGATCTTGAATATTGCGCAATCATGACAATGGCATTGACCTTGGTACAAGTTAAAAACTGTAAGTTTAAAATCACAACTTGTTCTAACCCTCCTAAAACCTAGCCAAACACTGTATTGCATAGTCATAAACCATGTAAAGAACAAAACAAAACGGTAGAAAGTTTTGTAAGCTACTGCTCGTGATAGGCCGGTAGGCTACTTACAGTACAGTACTGATTTATCACAACAGAGGAATGTCAATAATAATCATTAACTATAGCATTGGTGTTGCTAGTTGAAACAAATCGTATTGAAAACAATAAATTATTAGATAAGTCATTATAAAAGTGTATAATCATAGCCAACTTAAGGATAGTAAAAACACTCGTAAAAGGAATGTTAAGATAACGATGTTGCTATTCTTTCTCTTTGGTGTTGTTTTTATATTCTTTCTTAGTTTTCTCTTTATCCAAACATTGTAAAATTCACCATAGTTATCCCATATCGCCCAATCACAGCTTACTAAACATTACGTCGTCATCAGTCCTCAGTGAATAAAATCAGTTCTCAGTTGCAACATAGCGCGCGCAGTGACAGCAGACAAAGATGTAAAACGGAGCAGACGAATGTTAGCGCAAGCGATGACGTGACCTTTCCATTTCATTTGATAAAGAAACAAATTTTCCCAAAACAATAATTGGGTGGGGGATTTGTTATATCGAGGGAAAGACGTAGACAATTCGTTATGCAGAGGTTAAATTCGCAATGTAGAGGTTCTGACAATGATAAATTCGTTATATTGAGGTGTCTTATTTTAGCCGAAATCATGAAAAATTCGTTAAATCAAGGTCGTTGTTATGGTTTGTTCGTTATGCAGAGGTAAAATATACATTGTGTCTTATGGAGAGTTCTGGGGGATTAAAAAAAATTCGTTATATCAAGGAATTCGTTATATCGAGGTTCGTTATATCAAGGTTAGACTGTACTAGTTTTATTGATAGTGCTTTTATGGGGGGGGCTAACTTCACGGACCTGGAATTCTGGACTTTCTCATTGTAGGCTAGGCTATATGGAAAAATTTTGTGGCTAATTTGAGGTGAGACGACTATTACGCATTATTTCACGAAACCACGATATTAAAACCTAATTTTGTCTCTCCACCCGAAATTTTGTCACGATCGGTCAGAATGTTAAGAGTCACATAGCACTGATCCTGCCATTGTATTTTGCTTCTTGTGCCACTAAGTTTCTGGAGTTCAGTTTCATGTGTTATCTCTTGTGTTTTTTCTGTTATTATTTGCATACTTTTTCTAGGCTAGAGTTGTTTTTTTTATTGATTTTTAATGATCTCATTGACTTAAGCTTCATAATGTATTTACAATACTCTGCTTTTCTATGATTTCTCTACCCGGAAAAATACTCTGAGTCTTCTCTCGTATTTTAAAATAAAATTCATCTTTGGAGGATTAAGAAATTCAACTAAGCAGGGAAAAACGATCATTTCCAATCCAAAACAATTGGATATAAAAAGAGTGTTCTAAGAGAATAATTTACCTAAGAGTTCCAATACTCACACATATATTTGAGAAGATAGTGCCAGACATGAGGTAATAAGCTCGAGGGTCTCTACTGATGATGTCCGAGGGGGACAGGTACGCCCATAGAGCACACACAGCTAGGAACACCAGCACAGGCACCAGCGGACGATTGGCCTCCCACATGGAGCGCATCTTGCCTGTACGATCTCTATATGACCTGCAGCAACACGTCAGCAGCCATCATGTACACAATTTACGTAGGCTGACCCTAAATTGAGCTCCCGTCATGGTCAAGCAAGCTAGTTCAAATCTAAGATAAATATCGTGTTCTTTACTTCATAGACTATTATTGTAGCCGGTCCCACCCTTATGAGACAATTAGTCTCGGATCATAATAGTAGCTGAGATTGAGGTGAAGGAAAATTTACACTCCTGCCAAGTGCAAATTGATTATTATGTTTTTCTATAAGGGAACCTCTATTGAAATCTAATGCTAGTTGACATTATGTATATGCAGGAAATTGTTACGATGTACAAAATTAGCATAAGTGACTTGAGGAGTTCACAGCTTGCATAAATTTGTACAAAAAAGTTTCTTTCAATAGAGTGATTGAATCTGAAGAATCTTGTTTGCTGATAAACGTGACTACCATTTCTCTTGTCTTATGAAGAAGTCTCTTGTCAGTTTGATAATCTGTCCTTCAGTTACACCAAGATGGGAGCTCGATGGAGGAAACCTTAATTTACAGACAACCCATGTATAAGCACCAAGTGAGCATGAACTGCAAGTTAACATCATATAATAATCAGTGCCTTTCAACTATATTCTTTACTGTTTAGTTTTTTGTTTCTAGCAAAAAACTAGTATAAATTATATTCCCAGTCCCTTTTTAGTAGTTGTGACTTACTTGTAGATGTTCCACAATACAACGGGCAGATTAGATGCGAAGGAGCTCAGGTAGAAGACAATCTCCAGGATATGACCAGTGGCAATGTTACCATAGACTGTGAACTTCCACCACTCATGGCCCAGCTGGTAAGTGACTAGGAACACCAGTGTTGTTGCCTATACAAAACCAGAACAATATCTGGGTTAACAATCAACAAAGTAAACAGCAAGCCTTCAGACTCCAGGGTTTAAGAAATGTAAGGCTCCAGGTGTATATTCTTACTTGATGGACCAAGGGTTTTGGATGAGCAGAACTTTTACATTCTCAATTCATTTGAATGATATTGGTATTGTTGAATCTAGGTTAGATTAAATTGTTTCATTAAAACTCCAAGTGGGTCCCAAGATGAAGAACCTTGCCTTAATACTTCAAAATGTTTAAATAACTGCCATTGATGCAACAAATAGCAGATTATTATTTCAATAGGATTTCAAAATTCAAGCATAAAATAAATTATACAAAAAAAATATTTTAACACTTTGACTGTGCGTGGGCTGCCGGCTTCCTATTGCGGTCCCGTGGCACATGGACGTGGGATGCCAGCTTCCCAACCAACCCACCCAACAACAAGAGCCCAGTGTGAGCTAAGCTTGGTCAAAGGAGGGTGATATTTGGTAAAGGTGGAGGAATATTCTTCTCAGTTTGCGTTTTTCAATCCATTACACACTAGCGGGATCTCTCATCTATCAGCCACACCCTTATTTGTACATGTATGTAGGGGACAAAGTAGGTGTTTTCTTGTTCTAGTAGTCAATTTAAGTCAGTTTGGCATATAATAGTAAAATGTAGCATGTTTTAGAGTGATTTGAATCAGTGAACGACTTGACTTCACCAGCAGTCATGGAACACCAGCGTCCCTCATGGGGGACACTTCCTTGGTGCTTATGGGTGGCCAGTGTCCTATATTGATGACAATTTTCTGCTGAGTTTATGTGTATTTTTTGTTACTGAATAAGTATTCTGTATTGATATTCAATATAAATTTCAGGCCTGCCTAAACAAAATTTATATTTTATTAGCAGTCAAAATGTTAATGGGAAGGTGTACAATACTTACAATCATAGATAGATCATAACCCCACGGTAGGAACAGAACACCTGTGTTGTACTTCTCCCAGTGTGAGGAGTAAAACGTGAGGAATACGTTCCAACAGACGTAGTAGTAGCGGATGGGCGGCACGCTGAAGTCTGTGCGACCAAAGACAGAGTAGAGACACGTGGGGATCAGTACGGCCGTCCACGAGTCTAGACCATGGTCAAACAACTCCCCAAGTGGACCACTCGTCTGTGTCCGTCTTGCCTGCTTGCCGTCTATACCATCTGTCAACAGTCACGGTGCACTATTATTCTAAACTCAAGCCCAACATAGGGATATAGGAGATTGCCACATTATCTCCTATCATCTAACAATGTTCAATCCTCCTCTCTTTCATTAAACTTGATTATGATTATTCCAAACTTCAGTGGGGGAGGATGTTAAAACGCATGCTCTTTTGTACCTAAGACAATACTTTTCTGTGACTGAAGCATAGATAGTTGGACATACAGTAATTTGTGCAGTAAGGATTTAAGCGGGTTGTCTGCTCCCAAAATACTTCCGCTCTCTGATTCTGAATTATAAATTTAATCATTGCCCGTAGCAAGGTGCAAAATATCAGGTTTGCAGAACTTTATTGTAGTTAGGTCTGATTTTTTCGGTGACTTTTGGGATCTTCAAATTAAATCTGTTACTTTTCAGTGATTCGCGTGACCCCCTAGTACAATCGGTGACTTTTCTGTGACTTCCCTGATTTCAGTGACCGGTAGACACCCTGTTTTTCCCCCACTAAATAAATAGATAATTATAGTAATGACACGAAACCCCATTATCTTGCTTGTAATTGTAGGCTATGTTGCAGGACAAGGATATAGCAAAATGTGACAGACACACATGTAACCTGTGTCTGTACAGAAATGTTATGAAAATAAAGCAAAAAAGTAAAAAGGTTAAGTGTGTAAATATTACTCTGAAAAATATTTTTATTATTCTGTGTTCAAACATTTTGACCATCCGAACAATTAGCAGTAGGCTTACATAAGGTGACCATAAGTTTACATAGGGTCTTTTTAAACATAAATGTACCTAAAGAACTAGCGTTATTGGTATCAGTTTAGTTTTATCTAAGCTTAAAAAATAAAAAACAGTTTTTTTTACTGCATTATATTCATGACTCCTTTGAAGCAAAAATATTATATTGCAAGAAACCTTACCTAGTGTATAAGCGATAAATATACTGATGGAGCAGAAGAGGAAGACCCAGGGTGGTATTGCAGCAAACTCCGGATGGTCGGAACTTGAGGCGTAGAACTGGTAGTCGTAAACTGAGAGTAGTAGACAAGCGGCCACTGTGAACAGGAAGCCCACAAAGGTGAGCATGTTGGGGGCAACCCATCTGGGACACAGCTGTGAACAATGGGTTGCAAAGAATAAGAACCATTAGAATGGTGATTTAAACTGATATTAGCTTAGACATTACAATTTGTAAAGAAGAACACTGTGTTTTTGATCCAATGACCAGTGGAAAAGAAACTACAGCCTCATAACTATAAATATTTCCTAACGGACGAAAATTAAAAAACAAAATAAAAAAACTGTGGATTCTAAAATTTCTAAAACTACCTGATTAGCCTATGCATATATCACATTTATTTTCATTTTCAAACATTTAAAAAATATAAGAGGAAAAATGTATGTTATCAAAATTGTTAAATTTCAATAGTTTGAAAGCTTCTGATCAACACTAAATATATCTATCATCACTGTTGCAATATATGACTCACTAGATAGAAGAAAGTAGAGACAAGCTATCAAAACTTAATAACTGGCAGATGAATGCACAATACAAAAATAGGGTTGATAAAGCAGTGGTTTTTAGAACTACGAACTTAACATAAGTTGTCACTTCCCCGTGGTGGTTCCACAGTAACCAGGTAAACTTAAGTGAGATAAAAAATTGTTTATTGAAATCCAAACGGACTAAAAATAATAGGGTAGTTACTTACAGTATCTAATAATTCTTCTGATATAACTTACCAAAACCACTCTGTTCCAGAACGGGTGCATCACATACACACTGAGGGGGCTTGTGTCTAAGGAACTGTACTGAAAACAAACACAAAAAGAGTAAGAATAAATCGCCGTATGATATATAGTAGTTTCAGGATAAGCCTTCTTTTATAAAAAAAAGACTACACAAAATTTACACTAAATAAGTTTTAAAGTAATCTGTTTTCAGCCGAGGCAAAAAACAAGATGCAAACTAGTTAAAGTTGGTTTTCTAGATGCAAAAATTCAAAATATTGAAAAGAGTGGAGAGCATACTAAAGCCTAAAGTACATACCAAAAGCAACCAGTGATAGCAACGTAAAGACAACGCAACGGCAACTTGAGTAGCATAATGAATAACAAACGCAGTTTAATAGGCCTGTGTATATTAAAGCGATGTGATGCGACGGTGATTCAACGGTCACTTGACTGAGCAACATAGGCAATTCCAGTCACGACATGCTGTAAACTCGTTCGACGCCAGTTGTACAGTTGCTCGACTGCCTCCTCCTGCACATCTTGTAAACTTGGGCTTCTTTTGTATTTACACGCGGTGTAAAACTAAAAGGAACTCCAGTTAACTAAGTTGAGTTGCTGTTGGTATGTATTAGGCCTAATAGGCCTGTGAATACCAAAGTGACTGTGATGCGACGGTGATTCAACGGTCACTTGGCTGAGCAACGCAGGCAACTCCAGTCACGACATGCTATAAATTTGGTTTTTTTTATGTACACGCGGTGTAATTCTAAAAGAAGTTGCTGTTGCGTTTATATCACCAGTTGATTTTTGTAAGTACTAGGCCTAAAGAATTGTCTGCACTTGCACTCCTTTCCACAAAAACATTGTCAACCGACTGTCTCCATCCGTGTTTTCTCTTGTATCCGTCAATGTTACCAACTAATCTACCGAGTGCCTGCTGACACATCTGCGTGTTTCAGGAGACAAAATATCATGTTTACTTTCCCAAACAAATGGGAAACATTGAGACATGACACTGGTATTTTGTCTCAAGTCAAAATGTTTGGATAGACCACAGACAAGACGCCATATTATAAACTCACAATTTTTTTGCACACTTTATTCTCCCTAAAATCCATATTCTTCTAGTGTTGGTGGCGTTTTTTAAAATGGACGAGGTAACAATAATTGATGGTAAACCCAATCGAGAAATTGCATTCTGTCTCTATCAACCTTGCTTTTGCCCGTTCTCATGAGAGACTGAGATCTGTACATGGAACATAATTAAGCTAAGCAAGGGGAGAGCCGGAACAGTACAAAAATGAACTGTACAGATCGACTTAATTGGCTACACCAGGACAGGAACAAACAACGTCACCGCCTTTCTATAATATCACAAACCAACTGACTTTCCTCAAGGAAACTGATTCTCCACCAACACAAACAATGCTTGGATATTCATGTAGAAAACCTAAATCCCAGATTAGGACAAATGTTAACATTAAGAAGTTAAGGATCCCACAACCGCTGCATTTAATTTTCATTACCGTACCACCTAAATTGCTAAAGCTAAAATACATCCAAGGTCATGAAAAAATTTGTAATTATTCAGAAATAAATTGGAACCAAAGTAATCTTTGAAATAAAGCCCACGATCACAACTGTAGGCATATTTATTAATATCCAATCTCACCTTATTAGAAAAGCCAACTAACCATGACTTCCTTGCATGGTGTTGTGAAATATATAAATAAATAAGACCTTGGCTTTTACAACGGATCCCACATTAGGAAACTAATTTAATTAATAGTAACACAACTAGCTTACATACAACTTTCTTAGTAAATAAACACATTAGCCTATCCAAACAGGTGAACGACTGTTGCAATATACAGGGTGCAAAGATTATACAACTTAAGGTTTATTAGATTTTAGAGTAGGATTTAGGACTCAATTATCAAGTAGGTTAGTAAGTACCTATTTATGTAACCTATCCAAGGCTGAATCTCAGAATAAATCACATTATAATTTTTCTGTTCAAGCATCTTTGCCTTCTTTACATACTCTTGTATTCACAACACTGGCAAAACAGCTTAGTTTATAGAACGAGCACCTTGGCTCTTTAAAGAAATGATTGATGTTCTCTAAACTATTTTGCAGCCTTCTTTTCTTAAGTAAATTGTAATTTTCTATCAAGTTAAAGAAGCCATTTTAAGCAACAAGACCAAAATAATATAAAGTCCCCAAAGCAATAGGCCTATAAGGGCCTTCAGTAGCACGAATATTAATAAAAAGAAATTCTGCAAAGAGTGGGTTGTAGATCATCCCTTTTTCACTCTTAAATTTTCAGATATTTAGGTGGGGCGATCACATATGTATGGAAACTAGTGTTTTGTAAACGTTTATTCCTCTGGCAACTTGCAAAAAGGAGAAATTCAAAACATCAACGTATTCTATTGCAATTTGTATATTACAATTTCCTGAAACTAAACCCAAGTACAGTGGCCTAGAAACTTCTTTGTAATGAAAATAAATTTTAACAAGAAAACAATCAATAAAGGTACCTAACCTAACAGTATTTTCATTTGCAAAATGCCTTCCAGTCTGACCTAACTGTTGTGTTCCTCAAGTTAAAAAAGAACTGTATTTCTTCCATGAACATCCTGAATAACCCATTAATGTAATGTCCATTTGCAATAACAACATGCTTTGAATTTGTATAACAAACCCCAACAACCGTTAATAATTGTCCAATTTAGTTTCAATTCTAAAGAAGACTTGTAATACGCAGCTAAAACATGATGAACTGGCAAGCTCAATACTATGACCTACTTTAAAATCTTTACACGATATGCTATCAATTTTTTTTAAACAAAGAAGATTGATTTTTAAAATGTTCAGATTTTAATCAAAAGCTGATAAAAAATGTTAGGTAGTTGTGATTTTTAATATCATAAAAATAATTTATCCAAAAAAGCTGATTTCATAGTGAATTTATTTTCATTGAACTACATTCAGGCAACAATTACATAAACAGATTAACAACGCATGGGTAACTAGGTCTACAACCTAGCTTATCAGCAATGATAAGAAGGAATCCAAACAAAGCAGAGAGTCCCTAACCTATGACCTTATCGCCTCATTCACTTTTCAATTTACATCAACTTTCCAGTATAAAAGTTAAAACTTACGACGGAATTAATTACTAGCCAATTCAGTTTAAGTGCAAGGCTAGCTATTTCAGCAATTTATAGTTTTTAGCAGAAATATAGTGTCAATTGTTTTACTACTTGATAAAATATTGTTAAAATTTAATAAGGAAATTAAACAATTTGTTCAGAAAATATTAAATAAGTTGATTGATATTTTAAAAATGAACATGGGAAAAGTGTTAAACTACAGTAGGCTACTTATAGCCTACCTAATAATAAATCTTTATTTTTCATAAGAATACATGACAAAGTCAAAATCATGATCATACATCAACAAAAAATAAACATCACTTTTAATACAGTAGAGTCCCGCAAACTCGGCGTAATGTGGACTGGAAGGGTGCCGAGTTTGTGAAATGCCGGGTTATCAGGAACTAGGGTTAAAAATAAGAACAATACAATTTTGAAGCTTTTTAATTGCCTTTTTTATTTATCTTTATTTTACAAGTCAGTATTAAGTCATCAGATATTGTACAACAAATCCTTGGTACGAGTTGTGAATGATTTGACTTGAGCTGGCTTGAGTCCATGTTTAACTCGGACAAAAAAAATCACTAATTTTCTGAGCCAGGTGATGGCCGAGTTATCCAGACTGCCGGGTTATCGAGTGCCGAGTTTGCGGGACTCTACTGTATTATGAAAAGAGAATAGGCCTTAATAACTTAATATGTACATAATACATGAAGACTAAAAATACAATAATTAAGAACCTGATAAAGCATCAGGAGAGCAGCAGGATATATGAATGAATATCAAAAATTTGCTCGGCCAGATTTGAAAAAAAATCATCCAGGCTATAAGGGAGCTGTGTAGTAGCCAATTGTAAAACAAGGACTTAAATTTTTGCGGCGGATAAGCATCAATATTGTGTTGTAAAAGGTTAGGCCTAGGTATATACTTTAGTTGATAAGACTACCTATGTGACTCCTGCTGGTCCTACTCATACGATGTGACAATGCACTATTTTTGAATCGGGTAAGTTAGGTATTGTGATTATGATTATTGAATTTTAGGTGATGGGTTTTTTATAAAAGGTAAGATCATAAATAAACAAATTTATTAGGTACAGTTTAAATCTTAAAATTAAAAGAGAGGTTTGCAGTGCTTGTCTGGCTCCGACCCATTTATAGCTCTGACAGCCCTCTTTTGCAGGATTAAAATGTCTTTAGCCTAATTCTTCCACACCCACTCCAGAATATCAATCCTATCTCATAACGGACTGAAAATAGGCTATGCAAAATAAGCCAAGCTTAGATAGTTCTTTGGAATTACATCTTTGAGACAAAAAATAATAATGAGATAATAAATAATGCTTATTCTAGCCAGGATAGTTGGAAATTTTTGATAAATCCCTGACTTTTCCAGACAAAAAAATTCCATGACTTTTCCAGTTTCCCTGACCGTACCAATCCTGTGGATGTGTTTAATTTTGTGACATGGACTAAACTTTGACATGGCAAAAATATGGGCACAAGGGACTGTCCAGACAGATTTCAGACTGGTGGTAGGCTAACCCTGGTATGCACGCACAGGTTTAAGAGTAGAGCCTCAACACACGTTATCCACACATCAAAATAGTGAGCAGGACTCAGTTTAACTTCCATGCTACCATTACATTGTACTTTTAAGTACATCGACAGAACCCCTAATTAAGTTATAGCTTACAAACCACTAACTTACTTAAATCAATTGCTATCTTATAAGGTAAATGAATTTTCCTGTTTATCAATCTTTATCGATATTTTTACAATTACAATCGGACTGTAAGTTAATTGACTAAATTTCATCCAATAACATAAACAACACACATGATACATTTATAGGCTAGCCTAATTGCTTTTTAGTCTTGCCGTTGGGTTGGGCTAGGTAATGTAGCCTAAGGTTTTCTTATAGTAAGTCTACTGTTAGTATGTTACACTCAAAAATCCGAATTTGGACAATGTCCAAAATCTTTACCCAAATCGTGACGTGGACAGTGTGAAATACCTATGTCGTGTAGTGAGCATTTTATTCGGACATTGGCCGAAGCAAAATGCCCAAACCGCGTCATGGGTTAACTGATTTACTCAAATGCTGAAGTAAAAACGTTCTTCGGCGATTTAGCAAATCCAAAATAGGCTACCCACAACTTGATGTAAGAATAATTACTTAATTTTGTCCACATCAGGTTGAAGGTATTTCTAATTTGTGTAAAGACCGAATAAGTTAGCCTGTATAAACTACTGCATACACAAATACTCCCGCCACAGCAAACTATGCGAATTTCCATTTGCCTGATTTTATTTTCAACTAGGCAAACTTAATTCTAAGTTATTTAATAACATAGGTTTAATAAGAATCTAGGTTTGCTGCTACAGGGAAGCTAATAAAGAGTAATTATAAATACCAATAAGTTAGTGTTTATTTTAATAGTTTTTGTAAAACCTATGGAGTCAGATATCGCCCAAGTATGGAAAAGATAGTCCTAACTTTGCCTACCTAAGGCTAATAGTTTGATACATTTATGAATGAAAGTTATGTTGATATCCATTGGAAATATAGCATAAATGAATGTTAGCCAAGGTTTGTAATTAGTATATTATAACACTATGGATAAAAATGAGCATTGGAAGCAAAACAAACAGACCGGAGTACAACATAACCTAATTTAGTAATGGTTTAGTTATATCCTTTAGTTAACAGTCCCAGTGGTTCCACTAAGTTGTCAAGAATGGGTTAAGTTTATATATTTGGATGTGTTGCGTCAAAGAAAGAGACGTAAATTAATTTATTTTAATTAATACTTACTTTGTAATGTTCGAAGCCTGACAAATGTTGTGATGATAAGTATTGATAATCCATGGCTTTTGAGTTTTGTTTTATGGCACCAAATTAAAAATACGTCTTGTTCGTTGAAGCCCTATCTAATGTTTACAATCCGATTCAATAAGAATATTTAAATATCACATTTCTACTTAAAATAAATTATGACCATTAATTGTTTGAGCTTACGAGAATAATTAATTAACTACGACCAAACGAGAAACAAGCAGAAGAAGACTGAATGAATGAATGAATGGAATGGAGTGTGGAGTGGCTTCTTCTTCTTCTTCTTCTTCTTGCGTGCTTGTGTGAGTGTGAGTGGAGTGAGGTAAATGAAGTGAGTTGAGAGTTGACTGTGACTCGTTGACGACTGAGAGTTGTGCATAAATGCGTTTTCCCTCCTCTCAAAAAGGCCGGCCGCACACCTGATACAGCACGGCACGGCAAGGCGAGGCGAGACGTCTTTGCCTCGCCTTGCCGTGCCCGATGGAGATTTGAGATGCATACGGCACAGCACGGCAAGGCTACTTGAGCACCCACATGGTCGATCCCATGGTTTCAGTAAAGTGAGATACTGTGTGTTATATGAGGTTGTTTGTACATTTTGTGACACTTTGTACTACACATTTTGTGAGAATAGATGCAGAAGGCGAAGAAGACTGAAGAGGCTGCTGCCATCGCTGCTAAATGGTACCATTGAGTGTTTATATAGTCAATGATGGTACCTAATGAATGTAATGGATGATCTCCCTAACAGAGAATCGTGGGTGCATCCCATCAACCAAAAAAGGAACTTGAAACCATTCATTGCATAACTAAGAGCAGATCCGGAAAAAATCATAATTACTAATCGTTGGAAATGCACACTGATTTTGACAGGGGCTGTCACTGCGCTGAACGTGGTGTCGATCCTCGCGCATGCGCACATCGTTTTGCCTCAAGCCTTTTGCCCGAAAGACGAAAATTGAAAAGGCAGAACAAAGCGCCGTACGGCGCTGTTTTGCCGTGCCTTGCCATGCCTGATGATGTGTGCGGCACCCCCATTTGAAATAATAGAAATCTAGTCGCATAAGGCGCCTTAAGGCAAAACGTCGCGCCGTGCCGTGCCGTGCCACATCAGGTGTGCGCCCGGCCAAAGAATAACATGGAAACTTTGAACCCCCGTGGGGCATAGACCTACAGGATTTTCACAACTTAAATATGCCTATGTCAAGACCATCAAGACTATCAAGAACCTCTATTCAAAATGTCAGCTCAATCGGTCCAGTATAGTTTTTTCACGCAATTCAGATTTATGGGACTTCAGATTTAATATACACAAACATTCATACGTTCACATTTATTTACTAGGTGTACAATGCAGTTTTCTGCTTGCAATATTGAGCGGAGCCAGCATATTAATTCAATGTCAATGATATATTTGGTTCGCATTTTAAATAGAATGCCTAATTGCAGTAGGTATCCAAAGTCAATCATAAGTCAGGATTAAGTGAATGAATTGTCTACTTGCAGGAACCATATTCTATGTTTCATCTGGTTCTCATAAGTTAAATGTCTACTTTCAGTAACCAATGCCAATGATACATTTGGTTCGCATAAATGTAATGCCAATTTAAGGATTCTAAAGTCAATTGTACGTCCGGTTCACGTAGACGGATTGTTTACTTGTAGTATCCAAACTCAATGGTACATGTAAATGAATAGTCTACTTGCAGTATCCTAAATCATGGTCCATTTATTTCGTTCACTTAAATAAAATGCCGAATTGCAGTATCCGAAGTCAATGGTAGGCTTAGGCCTACTTCTGCTTCACTTATATGGGATGTCTATGTGCAGTATTTAAAGTCAATTATGCGTCGGGTTCATGTCAACGAATTGTGTAATTGCAGTATCGAAACTATGAGTGTTATATTTGGTTCACCTTAATGGAATTCCTATTTGTACACTGCAAATAGGAATTGCAGTACATATTCAAAGTCTACATTAATGGCACGTCTTGCTCACATAAAATACTGTAAAAGTTATTTACAGTATCCAAACGCAATATGGTGCATTAGCCTAATTCTGGCAACCCTTATGGTTATTCATTTTGTAGTAAATTATGCTCAATGCTATTAATCAAAAGTAGGAGTGTAGTATAAGAGAAGTTATAAAGTCAATGATAAGAGCTTCGCTACGCTCTGCTCAATAATTTCTATATCCTGCAAATGAATCATGGTAAACCTATGCGATACCTGAATTATTAAAAGGCAATAACGTGCATTATTTGAGATCCCAGGTTCGAATCTCCTCGGCGGCCTTAAAGTTTTGCTTCTGATTTTGTTAAAATATGATTTTCTCTTAACTTCACTAATCAGTTTTTTTATCTGAGACATTTATAATTTAATTTTGTGATAAGAATGCATTTTTTATATAAATACATTAACTTTTTGTTTGTAATAATTTCCTAACAGCGAATAATTGAGATAGGCTAATCGATAATATAATTAGGTCTAGTTTTATTTCAGCAGTTAAAAGTAAGAAATATATTGTCAACCACTTTCAAAATTTCCCTTTGGTGCAATACAATTTATCAATACGACTATAATGTAGACTACAAAGAATAAGTGAAAACTTTAGGAATTGGTTTACCGGTACGTTACATAACATTTATAATGACATCAAAATAAGCAGTTTGCTTAACTTGAAACCTTATTATTCCTAGTAGCTGGAACCTATATATTTTTTCCAACCTAACTTTAGACTACTACATGGCAATGTTTAAAACTATTTTGTAAGTTAGTATCGCAGAGTAAAGCGAGGTGGTAGACAATAGGCCTACCAGTAGGCATATTTGGTTTAAAACGACGTTGTTACATCTTCTCATGAATTTGACAGAGGAGCATATAGTCCTAATTTAATTAATGATTAATTCTTTTCGAAGTGCACACAGCAATATTAGTGTTAATCCTTTGGGATTTTATTGTCTAAGTTACACCATTTAGTTGTAAACCTTATCTGTAAACCAAGTGGTTGTGATTTCATTTCGTAAAATTATTTTGTATTTTTAGCTACAGGTACATTTTTTTACAAATTTACTTGCAAATCAAGGGCAGTGTGATTTTTGTCGGTATAATTATGTTATAGTGTTTTTTAATGCCCTCGTTTTAACTTCTCCTTCTCCACGCTACATAGGCCTAGGCCTAATTAGTTGACTATTCATTGTTGTTAAAAAGAACAGAACGATTATACAATTAAATATAAACGTCATGATTTTAATCACTCAATATATGACTGATTGTTAATCACTTCGTATTACATGCAATTAACTAATATGCTCTTTAGTATTCATCAGATTTTTTCTTTTGTACTGTATTTATAATGTGGTAGATTTGTTGACTAACATATGTCGAGGCTCTTGTTTACTTTTTATTGTTTACTCGCAAATAATGTCATGGCAACCAATTAACCCATAAGGCCCATGTTAAATTTCTAAAAGTTTGCATTCATGTAGGGAATATTCCTATGGTCCGATTTGTACCATTTCAGATTTATACCTTCCCATGGTTGGGTACTATGACTGTGTTAAATTTCGTGAAGATCGCTTCAGCCGTTCAGGAGGAGTATTTGTAATAAAAAAGCAGGAGTGTAGTATAAGAGCTTCGCTCGCTTCGCTCGCTCCGCTCAATAATACAGGATGTTTTTAAAAGAATGCCGGGATTTTAAATGATAACTGTTTGTGTACTATTCAAGGCAACTAAACGTTTTATACGTCAAATTGAAGCTAAAATAACTAAGTAAAGTATTCGAATCTTAAAATTACAGCAAAGGGCATTAAGAACAATGATGGGACTAAAAAATGATGAATGTGTTAAAATTCATTTCAAAAATTTTAAAATAATAACTGTGTTTGCCCAATACATTTTTGAAACTGCTCTCTTAGCGAAAGAAAGTATATCAGATAAGGCACAATTATGCTACAATACAAGAGGAAAAGCCCTAAGAGAAAATAGTCGCAACCATCTTTTATTTTCAAATAAAAAGCCCACCTGTGCCGGAAGAAGATTTTTACGGTTTCTTCCAAATCATTTAAAACCCATTGGCAACACAATCAAATTTAAAAACAAATTAAAAAATTATCTCATAGAAATCGCTCCCTACTCCATTAAAGAGGTGTTTCCCCAATTAACCTGATTTTATTTTTAGTTTCTTAGTATTATATAAATTATTGTAATTTTAGCTTATAACTTTATTTACTAGGTTAGGAATCTGACACTATTCGATGTACAATGTACAATTGTTGAATAAAGATATTGAAATGAAATGAAATGAAAATAAGTAGGTTTTGTTTCCCGTATAGCAGGGGAGGAAACTTTGACCTTTGGCATGCCCAAAACAGGTGCGGGGTGATAGGCCGCTATTGTGAAATGATATGAAATGATTTATTGTCGTTTCAATACATCAATACGGGACATCAATACAGGTAAATAAAATTCAAAATATCTCTAAAATGTATCACATATGAGCATTATGGATTATACAAAATATCAATGTAAAGTGGTTAAATAAACAGTAATAAAAATGTTATTTTTTGAAAAAAGGAAAAACTCTAGTTTTAGGTCATAGACGTTAGCTGAGGTACCTAAAACTCAATATAATTTAAAAATATATCATTTTAAAATTGTTGTAAAACAGTTACAACTTGTATTAAATCTTATTTTTTAAACTGCCAAAAACTGATTGCTAAACCATTTTAAAATTGTTGTAAAACAGTTTACAACTTGTATTGAAACTAATTTTCTTAAACTTCAAAAAACTGATTGTAAAACAATTTTAAAATTGTTGTAAAACAGTTACAGCTCGTATTGAAACTTATTTTTTTCAACTACAAAAAACTTATTGTTAAACATTTTTAAAATTGTTTCAATCTTATATCAACATTGTTGTAATATGAAGTTTAAATCAAAATGTTTTAAAATTGTTATACAACAATTGTAATACAGCTTTCGACAACTTTTAACAATTTCTTTCTTAATGGGTTATTGTTAGGGATAAAAATCACTCACAAATTCATTATTGAATTCCTTATTTCTAGAAATCAATAAAAATAAATTGTATTGACACTATTCACATCACCCAAGTAGCAAGAAAACAGTTTGAACTGGTAATAAAACAGTTTTGAAACATGTTAAATCATATAGGTATATGCTTGAAATGACACAAATGCCATTGAAAATCTTTTTAAAGTTAAATTATGAGGCCT